ACAGACAGACACACACACACACACCATTTTCCAAAAAAAAGTCATCCTTCAAATCCTACAACCTCTGTTCACATGACAACCTGGCTTCTTACTTCACAAAGAACTAGACCACCAATGACCCCGTTCTTCTCAACCCAGCTTATTCTTTGAAAGGCTCCATTGCTTCTGTCTCAGCAGCCCTCTGCCCCATCTTCCCTTGACTCTCACTTAGATCAACTCCTATGAACTTGGGAGGCAGAGACAGGCAGATCTGTGAGTTTGAGGCCAGCCTGGTCTACAGAGTGAGTTCTGGGTTACTCAGAGAAACCCTGTCTCAAAACAAAACAAAACGACAAAACACAAAACCAACAATCAACTGCTGTGTCTGTTTCTCTCAGAACCACACCTATACCAACATGGCCGATCTCTGGCTGCCTCCTCTCTTCTGTTCTCATGACTCCTAACTAGGATGCTTGTTTTGCTGGGAATGAGTTTTTGGTTGTTTGGTGGGTTTGGGTGAAACAGGGGCTAGAACCAGGGGCCTCGGATACTACAGGCAAGTGCCTAGGCAGAGCTACAAGCCCATGCAGGGGGATGAAGATGTGACTTTTCTGTGGGATATCTAGGTTCTACAACAAGGGTTCAGGGCCCAGAAGGCATGGTTAATCTGGAGTCAAGAGATTTTGTATTTGGTGCTTTATCAACAAGAATGAGAAGCAAGTGCTCTAGGGGGAAAAACTAGCTGGAAGAAAGTGGACAAATCTCTTGTTAAACATGAATTCCCTCAGTGACCTCCCTTCCTAGAGAGCAGCTTTCTATTCTTCCAGATGCATCCGCTTCGTGGGTGAGGGACCTGTGTGGTCACAGCAAGTCTACCCATGTTTAAAGGGGCCAACGTGGCTTTGTTGCCATCTTGAAACTCTTGATTTTTTTTTTTTTAAATCAGAGGGACTTCAGAAATTACATAGCAGGCCCTGTTTCTAGACACAGTCCATGCCTCATTAAATATATAATAACATATACATATACGTGTGTCCTGCCTCCTGTCCTTTTGGCTTTTAGCATCTGATGACGATTGAGTCATTAACTAATTAATTAATCAATTACAGCACTGCTGAGATAGAACTCAAGGCCTTACAAATGCTACTTATGTATTTTACCAAGGAGCCACAGCCAAGCCCCAGATTTTGAAGAGTTTTTTAAACTAAAGATTCATTTTTAGATGTGTATGTATGTATGCTTGTATGTATGCAACCACATATGGGGTTGCAAGTACCTACAGAAGTCAGAAGAAGGTATCAGATCCCTTAGAGCTGGAGCTACAGTTGTAAGCCGCCCAACATGGTTTTTGGGAACTGGACTTGTGTTCTCTGGAAAAAAGCAGCAAGTGCTTGTAACTGTGGAATCATCTCTCCAGACCCTCTTTGGATAATTCTTAACGAAACATATGTGGAGGAAGTGGGGTAGGGTAGCAGGGGAGGGGGAAGAGTGTGTGTGTGTGTGTGTGTGTGTGTGTGTGTGTGTGTGTGTACACCATAGTCATTAACACTATTCACCAAACAGTTCTGCTGTTTCTGTGTCTGGGTACACCAGGGAAGCACAGTAAGACTGAATTCCCTGGCTCTCTACTGGATGGGTGAAACCAAGCGATTACTTTTGGCCAATGAGTGACAAGCAGGAGAGAGTGCTTTGTTTCCAGGTCAGCGTTTAATTGCTGCTGTGAGAATCCGGAGTTCTCATTCAAGAGTTCAAGATGAGGCTGCTTCGTTAGCAATGGATGTGTAGCATGGACGAGAAATAAACCGCTATTTTAAGCCATGAGGGTGCTGTGTTATGGCTGCATAGTCTGTCCTGTGCTGACAGGAACATGGAAGCTCTGAGGAAAGGTCGCTGGAGCTGACATGTGAGGAGAAGGAGTCATTGAGTGATAAGAGTCCCAGAGGCAAATGAGAAATTAGGACAACATGAGACAAGGAGCGTCACAGAAATCAGGGGAGGAGTTAGTCCAAGTAGAGAGTAAATGGCCGCACTGTTGATTGAGTCCAAGAGGCCAAGCAATATAAGGAATACACATATGTCCAGTAAATCTGGCCACTGGGGAGTATTGGCAATCTTAACAGCTATGGTAGTTTGAATAGGAACGGCCCCCACAGGCTCACAGACTTGAATGCTTGGTCACCAGGACATGGCACTATTAGGAAGTAGGGGAGGGGCTTTGAGGTCTCAAATGTTCAAGGCAGGCCTAGCTCTCTCTCTTCCTGCTACTGGCTGATCCAGATGTAGAACTCTGGACTTCTTCTCCAGTACCATGCCTGCTTGCATGTCAGGATAATAACGGACTAAGCCTCTGAACCCGTAAGCCATCTCCAACCTAAATGGTTTCCTTTATAAGAGTTGTTGTGGCCATGGCATTAAGACAACAGCCTTCATGGACTACTGTGGCAGTGAAAGACATCGGTGGGAGGGAAAGATCACAGAGGATCCTCAGGAGAGGCTCAGCAGGAGGTGCAAGGGAAACATTGGTGGCACATGCCTTTAATCCCAGCACTTGGGAGGCAGAGGCAGGCGGATTTCTGAGTTTGGGGCCAGCCTGGTCTACAGAGTGAGTTCCAGGACAGCCAGGGCTACACAGAGAAACCCTGTCTCGAAAAACAAAAACAGAAAAAAACCAAATACAAAAAAAAACATTATATCTATTTGCCTGTTCTGGGCATTTCTAGAAATTGGATCAGGAGATGCTGTTTTCTGTCTCCATCACATCTTTGGAGATGTCTTTTCACATCTCCAAAGGTTCATCTACGTTACAGCATGTATCTGTTCTTCACTCCTTTTTACGACTGAATGCTACTGTTCCGTCAAATGGATGCACCACGTTTTGTTGATGCATTCTTTAGTGGATGGACATTTTTGGACTTGTACACCATTTGTTGCTGCATCCGATAGTTCCTTGTACTGGGGGGGGGGGTCGGCGGGGGATGAAGAAATGAATGAAGGGCACGAGCACAGAGTTGTTACAACATGAAGCCAGGTTTGAAAATCAGGTGGCTAGCTCTCTGGTTGTAACCACCAGACTTTACTGCTCTAATGGGAGCCCTTTGACCTACTATTTAACATTGTTACGTCTGTCTTGTGTGTGTGTGTGTGTGTGTGTGTGGCTTGCTTAAACATCCATGCATGTGTGTACAATTTAATAGTTACTTCTCTCCTATTATTTGGGTCCTGGGGATCAAACTCAGGTCATCAGTCTTGGTGGCAAGTACCTTCACCCTTTCACTGGCCCCATTTATTCTTCCTGCAGATGAAAGTTACTGTGTTTTTTAAAGTTTTGAAAGAATGACAAAGGTGAGGGCAAAGTTAAGAGAAAGCAATAACAGTGTGCTGCCTGGAGAGGGTATCAGAGGGAAGCCCTTACCACTCCCAGGCCTCCTAAGTAAGCTTCTGAACAGAGAGGGTCGGGAGACTCATCCAGCATCCCTGCTTTCTAGTCCCTTGAACTAGAGTCAACAGGGGCAGGGGCCTTGATGTAGATCATAAGGATGAGAAAGTACAAATTGTTAGGCTGGAAACATGTAATTCATCTGGCTCCGTAATCTGGCAGGAAAGACAGCAGTGGGTTGGGCTGCTTGCAAAGAAATGGTTCTTTCTGGGGAGGGATACCACCTGAGTGACTGTTGCTTCCCTTCTCAGGGAGAGGAGCATTGTACTCTCTGTATGAAACATTCCACTTGTGCCTGGAAGATTCTAAGTCTTGATCCAGAGAAGCAGCAGCCATATCCACGTTAGTACAGAGCCTCAGACACTGGGGTCTGTGGGTACCTCATTTGAGGACGATCATGTCTTTATTACCCAGGATCGTGGACCCACTGTGTAACTCATGTGGGAAACTGCCCGCTTTATACATCCTGTTTTCCTTCAGCCTGTCCGAGCAGGGTTTCAGCCCAGGTGTGGTACCTCACAGCTATAATCCCAGAATTTGATAGCTGGAGGTGTGGGAAGATGAGGGTTTAAGAGCCAGTTTCAGCCTCACAGTAAGTTACAGAGAAGCCTGAGTTACTTGAGACCCTGTCTCAAAACAATACAAATAGACAATAAAACAACAAAACCCCAAAGCAAAAAATATCAACCAAACAAGATTTCCTCTCAACTCTACCTGCCTTGGAACCCTACAATGACGCCACCTCCTCTCCTGTTTGGTCCTCCTTCATGAGGACTCTCCCTCAGGAATGGTCAGGAAGGCTACTGGATGCAGCTTTGTTCTTGGTGGTCTGGGACTGACAGGACCGGGTCATGGGATGACCTCCCAAGGCTCAAGGACAGCAATCTAGACAACAGAGAGACTGAGATGCAGTGTGGATATAGTCTTCCCATCCCACCATGAATCTGATCGGGCGCCATCTTTGCAGACCAGAGAGTAGCGCCTGGAGCAGGAGAGGGCAAAGCCACCATTTAGTCACAGGGTGCACCTGTACACGTGGACTGAACAAAGGGTTGTCGAAAACAAATGGATAATCTCTGTGGGGTGTGGTGGGGCTCACCTGTAATCCCAGCACTCCGGAGGTGGAGGTGGGAGGATCAGAAGTTCAGGGCTAGCCTCGGGTAAGTAACAAATCTGAGGTCAGCCTGGCTGCGTGAGAATGAGTCTCAAACAGGCAACAAAAGAAAAGAAACGGATGGGTCTGAGCGGGGCTCGCGGCAGTGGACGTATCTAGGCTCTTGTCTGAGTCACACTGGGTCTCATGACATTTGAAGGACAGCCCCTTTCTCCCAAATGAAATGAGTTCGAAAGAGCAAAAGGAAAGGGGTGGGGAGGGGGAATTTTTAAAATGCCCATCTTCTGAACACCATCTTTGTGCGGGCGTCTGGGGGTGGCTGGCAGGGCGGGGTCATCTGGCAGTCAGGCCTGTAAGACTCGGTTCTTGTTTATTCCTCTCACACTCGGGGCAGTTGCCAGGACCCGCCCCCGCTGCAGTCTCTGGAGGAGCTGGAAGTTAACCGTTCCTGCTGAGAATCGGTGTGTTTTCTTTGGCTGCTCCTACGTGTGGGGCTTGCTGTGGTCTAGCCTGGGAAGAAGAAGGTCTAGCCCAGGTCCAGCCTGAACAGAGCGAGCCTGTCGCCATGCCGGCTTGCTGCAACTGGAACGATCTCTTGCAGTACGAGACAAACAAAGTTACCCGGATCCAGAGCGTGAATTACGGCACCGTCAAGTGGGTCTTGCACATGCTCGTCTTTTCCTACCTTAGGTAAGCGCGGGGCGTGGGAGGGGCAGCTCTCTGCAGCACTGGACAGCGCCGGCAGCCCCACGATGCAGCTGCTGGTGCAGTTGCTGGATTCTATGTGGTCCTTAAATCTGAGACACACTCTCATAGCCCGCTGGGAGGAAACAGTAAGAGGAAGCTGTCCTTGGCTGTAGCTGGAAGAAGCCGCAGAGAGAGGGTGGCAGCCTTTGCCTTTTCAACTGCAGTCAAGGCCTGCCAAGATGGGCAGGGCAGGGCATGCCTAGGGAACCTGGGAGACACAGGCCAACAACACCCTGGGCTCCCACAGAGACGAGGGGATTTCCCTTGTGGGCTCTGAATCATCCTCCTGCTTCGGAGAAATGATAGAACTAGGTTTGGAAATGTCATTTTAGAGCATCTAGGGGGCCCTTTAAAAACCGCTTATAAAGGTACAAAATGTGTATCCCGGACTTTCACTGATTTACAGCGTTCATGTCCATGGCTTTTGGTGTATTCACCGAGCTATACCATGGTCACCAAAATCCAGAACATTTTCAGCCGGGTGTGGTGGCACATGCCTTTAGTCCCAGCACCGGGGAGGCAGAGTCCAGCCTGTCTACAAAGCAAGTTCGAGGACGGGCAGGACTACACAGAGAAACCCTGTTTTGAAAAACAAAACCAACCAAACAAAAAGAACATTTTCATCAACCTGTTCCTGTGGAGATGTATGTATGTATGTATGTATGTATACGTATACGTATACGTATATATATACACATACACATATACATACACATATACACATACATATACATTTCATATAAAAAGAATCCTATGGCATGTGATCCTTTGCGACTGACTCTTCCTCCTAGCGTGTTTTCAGTGTTCACTTACATGTTAGAGCGAGTGTATTGATGCTGTAGACTATTTATGGCTGGATAACAGTCTACTGTATGTAAGTTCAGTACTGTGTGAGAAGACAGCCCACTGGATAAGACCACTTCCTATCCATTCACCAGATGATGCATGTTGGGTTGCTTCTCTCTTTGTCACCTGGACGTATATCCTAATCTCTCCTGGGTTTACCTGGGGGGGTGGGGATGCTTGTTAGGTCACGTGACAACTGCATGTCACCCTGGGAGGCACTGCTGGACTGTTCTCCATGGCAGCGTCATCGTTTTTAAAGCCTCAGAGCGTGAGAGTCCACGCTCTGTCCACATCATCATCAACTGGCGATGCTGTGGCTTTCGGACTGTAACTAACCTAGCGGGTGTGAAGTGCTCTCCCACTGTGGCTTTGGCTCGCGTTTCCCCAGTGATGATACTGATGGTGTTCTTGACAGACTGTGCAGAGGCGCTGTGGTTTATGAAAAGTGAGGGTGGCCTTTGAGTGTGTACCTGCTTGCGTGTAAGGGAGGGGTGCGTGCATGTGGAGGCCGGGGGTGAGCTACCTGAAGCTCACCAATTCAGCTAGACTAGGTGCCCATCAATCCTGCCTCCCACATGCTGGGATCACAGGCACCTGCTGCTATGCTCAGTTGTTACAAGGATGCTGTGGGTTGAAGCTGCTCGTTCCCCCAGTGACTTCCCTTCCTAAAGACCAGCGAACGGTTGTCCATGGAGCCATTTACCAAGCTCGGAGGTGGCCTATTCTATAATCCTGGATACATCTTCTTGGGCAAGTCACTTAACCCGCCTGAGCCTCAGTCTCTGTGTTGTTCATACGATCTCTGGACAACAATGGAAGAAGAAGAACCTGCCTTATAATTGATGCTATTGGGAAGATGTTTCCCTCTTCCCAGGAGACCGAGCTCAGAAATATTTCAGAGGCCGAAGAAGATCAGAGAAGGCTGATCTCATTTAGAACAGCTTCCCCTGGCCCAGCTAACCTCCACCAACAGCAGACACTGTGCTGTCCTTTGAAAGCCCCAGGCTGTCTTTTGCTGGGGGAGAGAGTATTGCCTCTGCTTATTTATAAGTTTCAAAATGTACTTCCAGATTCCCCAAAGGGTGGCCTCATACCTGTAAGGCCGGGCCTCTTCTGTGAAGCCATGACATAGGTGGAGAAGACACCAGACACCAAACCAACCAAGGCACACTCTCTATGGCCGCAGGGGAAATGAAATGTGCAATTCATCACCTTGGCCCTGGATGATATGAGTTTGGGCAGCTGGAAGATTAGAAAAGGACCACGTAGGAGGAGACCCCTGTAGGAGGAGAATCCAACCACATGACACGCGGCACAGAAAGAATAGTAATTGTAAAGATCGAAGCAAACAAGATGGACAGCAAGGACTCCCCCGATCCAGACGAGGGAGGAGCAGGAGCCAGGACAGATAAGAATGTGATTCTCAGCAGAGCCTATCTATCTCTGGAGAGCGGAGCCTTCTGATTGGTGTATCTGAAGGCTCTCCAGTGGCTACCGTGAAGAGGGTATGGGGCATTCCGTAGACAAGAACAGAGTACAAGGGGCCACTGAGAGTTTGCTGGAGTCACCCAGCTGATACAAGGTCGCAGCTCGGCCTAGAACAGAGTGGTGGAGTTGGAGAGATAGAAGCCACGTTGAGATGGGGGGGGGAGGGTAGGGGGGTGGGGAGGAGATGGCTCGGGGGTCCGGTGGATGAAGGTTTCTTTGTATTTTCCATGCAAGATCAAAGAGAGACAAGCTTGCTCAGCACCAGGAGGGATGCTGAGCAAACAGTTAAAATGGTTTTGTAGTTGTTGGGTCAGATGTTGTTTGTTTTATTTTGCTTTTTTTGGTTTTGGTTTTGGTTTCTTTCAAGACAGGTCTTCTCTGTGTAGCCTGGGCTGTTCTGGAATTTGCTCTATAGACCAGGCTGGCCTCAAAACTCACAGAGATCCACCCAGTTCTGCCTCCCTGGTACCGAGATTAAAAGCATGTAACCACTACTGCCCAGCTTAAAATGTTTTGACTACTACAGTCTGTGATATCCTTTTATACGTGTCTAGCCCCGAAATATTAAAAACAAAATCTGAAATACATAATCTCAAAAATAGTGCCATCCCTTTCTCTTTTAGCTTTTATGAAAGCTGCCCGGGCAGCTGACTCTTCAGCTCCACTGTGCTTCTGAATAGACGGCTGTATACCCGTCTGGAGTCCATGGGCTTCTGGAGTCCATGCCAACCCAGCCTCCCTGGCTGTTGACACAGCACTGAGCCCTGGGTTAGTAGTGTCAGGCTGGTGTTACAGTGTCTCAGAGGGGAGGCCCAGGGAACTGCAGAAACCAGCAGGGCCCAGACTGTGGAGGGAGTTGAGCTTTATCTTGAGGGCCCTGGGAAACATGAAGAGGAAGACGACCTCTTCCTGTCTTCTATCTGTTGTGTTTTTATAATATCTCTTTTTCTGCCTATCAGGCCGCCCTCGGTCTCTTTTACAGGGACACATGGGCATTTGGAACTCACCCAGATTACCTAAGGTGAACTTACACCTCAAAGTCCTCAGTCATGTGTCCAGACTGTTCTCCCTGATAAAGTGTCACTGACTGGTTCCAGAGGTGAGGATCGTTGATCCTCAGGATCACGCTACAGGATGGGTGACTGGAAGGGTCCAGCACATGCAGGGGTAGATGCAGCTGAGGTGCCTGGTTCTCACATACTAATAAGGACTGATGGTTTTGTGGGTTCACATTGGGCAGTGGCCCACATAGACCTTTTCCCTGAAGCAGTCTGCTTCCTGACTGTGTAGTCCCCAAGCGAACCTGCTCTATCTCTTAGGTGGCCTAAGTCACATAGCCAGTCAGAGGCAGAGCCAAGAATGAACTTCCAGAGTTCAGCCTCAGACTGAGTTCATCCAGACTTCGTCCAGAGTTCACTCTCAGCCTGGAGACTGGAGGGGACGAGTCTGAGACTGCAGAGGACAGGACCAAGGGGGATGAAACTATTGGATCACCTGGTTGTGAACTGATGGTGACCTGGTCTGAGGAGGGGAGGTGACAGTGACCGAGGACAGGTAGAGTTGAATAACATGAGGAAGATAAAGTAGTAAAATTTCTTTGATTTTGGTTTTCTGAGACAGGGTTTTGGGTTTGTTTGTTTGTGGTTTTTTTGTTGTTGGTTTTTTTTGTTGTTGTTTTCGAGACAGGGTTTCTCTGTGTAGCCCTGGCTGTCCTGGAACTCACTCTATAGACCAGGCTGCCCTTGAACTCAGAAATCCGCCTGCCTCTGCCTCCCAAGTGCTGGGATTAAAGGCGTGCACCACCACCACCTGGCTTGTTTTGTTTTTTTAAGATTTATTTATTTACTTTTATGTACATGAGTACACTGTCGCTGTCTTCAGACACACCAGGTGAGGGCATCAGATCTCATTACAGAGGGTTGTGAGCCGCCATGTGGTTGCTGGGATTTGAACTCAGAACCTCTGGAAGAGCAGTCAGTGCTCTTAACCACTGAGTCATCTCTCCAGCCCCCTGAGACAGCGTTTTAAGGAGCTCCTTATACAGCTGCACCTAGCCTTGAACAGCTCCCCTTGCCTCCGCCTCCACCACCACCCAATAGGAGGGATTGCTGGCAAGTTCTACCCTGCCCAGATCAAACAATTGGACTAATAGTGGAATGGATGGACAAGGGGGAGGCTCGGGGAGGGTAAGGAGAGAGAGAGGGTCAAGAGTGTGCCACATTCCGGACTTGGGCAGGTAATGAGAAGTTGGTAGAATACCTTCCTGGGCTAGTATGTTTAGGAGAAAATGTAATTGGTGTTAAAGGCTGAGTTCGGAGGTTTTTAGTTAGAAGGGTACACGAGACTCAGAACTATACATATTGATTGTGTAGTTATTTGTTCCAGAGCTTTAAGATGGATTAGATACCACCAGCCATGACATCTTCAACCGACCAGCAAGAGAGGAAGCCAGATGAAAGAGAGAAGCTTGGGAGAGAGAGCCCTGAGTGGTGCTCACATTCAAGGGGCAGGGAGATGCAGAACTTCCCCAAGGATTCTGAGACAGACGCCAGAGAGATCCGAGGAGGTCAGGAGAACGTAGACGGAGAAGGAAGTGGTCCGCCGTCACCGGAGTCCATCATGGCATCTGCAGCATGCCTGCTGGACTCGGGAGGGAGAGAGAGAGCGTGTGTTGGCGAGGGAGGCGCTGGAGAAGCGGTGGGGGTGGGAGCCAGACTGGAGTGGGTGGAGGAGTGAATGGAGGTGCGGAAATGGATGGGGTGACTCACTCTTTCAAAAGACTGGGCCCCATAGGAGGAGCCAGGCCCTGCATGGCAGCGGTGGTAGAAGAATGAGGGGGAGGGGATTTATTTTTAAGATGGGAAATTATATTTAAATGCAGATGGGGAAAAAAGGGAGATGGATGGCATAAATGAAAAATCACCACCATCGCCATGGTCGTCTTCAGGGGGATCAGCCAGCAACCACGGGGGAAGCTTGCCTGGCCCCCTTTCTGTAATCACCAGTGACAAGTCCGTCCTGTCCTCTTCTCCTTCAGAGGGCTTCTCTCAACTGCTTCATCTGTTCTCATCTCTGAATGGATACCCAAAGTGCTATCTGGACCCTTAGCTGTCTCAGCCATATCCATGTAGACATGGCTGTCATCCTTGTGGCCGGGAGTGGTGTCAAACGACTTTAATCCTAGCACTCGAGAGGCAGAGACAAGAGGATCTCTGTGAGGCCAGCTTGGTGGTCTACAAAGCCAGTCCAGGACAGCCAAGGGTTGTCACACAGAGAAACCCTGTCTAGAAAAACCAGAGAGAGAGAAGGAGAGGGAGAGGGAGAGGGAGAGGAAGAGGGAGAGGGAGAGGGAGAGAGAGAGAGAGAGAGGGAGAGAGACGTCAGTGTGCACACTTTTGCTTGACTGATGTTCTTTGCATGAAACAATGTAATGTAGCCTTCTGTAGTTTGACTCGAGGAACTGAGCTATAAATGTACATGCCCTTTGACCTGGTGGAGAAGATGCCCCCACCACAAATGCTCCCCGGCAGCATAAGTGAGGGTATATGTACAGGCAGCAAAGCCTGACGCTAGGCCCCAGCTCTCTGTGGATTCAACAGATAGGCGGTTCTCTGCAGGAGCTTTCACTTTAGAGTTAGTTACCTTTGCTCAGAACTCTGAGGTTCCTTAGACGAGATAGGCAGTCTTTGCTTCAAGTCACTTCCTTCCCCGGGGTGCTCTGAGAACCTTCTCACCATGCTGCCGGTGAGCCATTTGTGCAGCTATAGATCTGTGAAAGTCCTTCAAATCCAGAGCTTATGGATCGGGACTCTGAAGAACACCCTCCTAGGGGCCATCTGCATCTACATCTGGTGAGTCAAGCCAGAGCCAGTCCCAGGGCTCCATGACCCAACCTCTTTCTCCACCTCCACTAGATCCCTGCTCCTTCAGGCTACTCCTTCTTTGGCAAGGGTCTCTGGGTGACCCTAGCTTCTCCTGTGTCAGATCTCTCCTGTCTTCCAGGTTCTCCAGTTCCTCTCAATCTTGCCCATCCTACAAGGCTCACTTAGATCCTGACTCCTTATTACTGTGCTTGCTCCAGGGACTGGTGCCTTTGCATGCATTGAACATCTGTTTCTTAGAGCGAATAGTCACTGGGATTAGAGAGTAGAGAATTATGACCCCATTCATGGACTGAACCCATGACCCGGAGAAGAGGTCTAGCTTCTTCTTGAGTCATTCCATGAGGTCAAGAGTTGGTGACTGAATTGATAATTAGACTATTCTTTCTAAAGGGCAAGACACTGCAGACTCTCTTTGTCTCTTCCCTCCTTGAATTCATCTCTGGAATATGTTAATAGAAGTTTCATGTTCATTATGATACAAAGGTCCCTTATGTTTGCAAAGCCTTCGCTAGTTTGAAATACTTGGGTTCAATTAGAGACCATCATGTGTTGCATATTCTAGAATGGAGATGATGCACCAGCGTGAGCTTCCCAAACAGTAGAGCACGTGTGGCTCTGGGAGGAAGTTGCAATCGATAGCACGTATGAAAATCCCAAGAACTCTGTATATGTTTTGGGGCCGGGGTGAGACGGAGCACTCATAATTGTATCCGTCTACATGTCTATTGCACTGTCTCAGACATGCTGAGTGGGTCCCAAATCTGGATTTCTAGCTCTAACATCTTTTTAAAAAAAAACTGTCTACATTTTATGCGCAGTCATGTGCTCATGTGTCATGGTGAGCATGTGGAGGCCAGGGAACAACGTTCGGAAGACAGTTCTTGCCTTCCATCATGGTGTGGGTCCTGGGGATTGAACCCAGGTCGTCAGTCTTGTCAGCAAGTGACTTTACTCACGGAACCAGCGCATTAGACCAATGTCTTTCTTCTTTAATCCCTCTTGGAGGGACGCTAGGATGGACTGTGAATAACAGAGTATCCATGTGCCTCTGTTCGACTTAAGGACCAAAGCACACTGACCCAGCTCTGCTCCCTGTAAACTCGTCCCTCACCCCATTTCACTGTTTTTCTCCATAAGCATCATCCTGAATTTCATCTTTGCTCCTTTGTTTTGATATTTCTAGAGACATATGTCTATGTTTATACAGATGCGTGATATTCATCTCACCTATTGAGGTGACATTCATAGAGCATGAAACTGACCACCTAAAAGGGGGCAGAATGAAGGACTATTTTAATGTAAGCACACCAGTGTCTTTGAACAGGTATATGATATCATGTAATAATACCTTTATCTACCAATGTATTTCTGTCATCTTTTGGGGCGGGGGTTCGAGACAGGGTTTCTCTGTGTAGCCCTGGCTGTCCTGGAACTCACTCTGTAGACCAGGCTGGCCTCAAACTCAGAAATCTGCCTGCCTCTGCCTCCCAAGTGCTGGGATTAAAGGCGTGCGCCACCACTGCCCGGCTATTTCTGTCATCTTAAAAGGAAGTAGTATACTCAGTAACTGCCCCTCTCCATTTCTCCTCTCCTGGCAACTGTCCATTTTCCTTCTGTGTAGATCTATTGATTCCATGCATCTCTTATAAATGCCAGGTATGGTGGTGCGTGCCTTTACTCCCAGCATTCAAGAGGCAGAAGTAGGAGAGGATCTTTATGAGTTCGAAGGCCATCCTGGTCTACACCAGGACAACCAGGATTACATAGAGAGGCCCTGTCTTAGATAGTTAGTTAGATAGACAGTCAGACAGACCGACCGACCAACAGACAGACAGACAATATAAACCCTGAAATAAGAGCAAGCTGAGCCAATGTGGCACTGAGTCTGGGACAGAGCCATTCAACTCATCAAGAGTGGAGCTCTGAGTTGAGATACCCTCTATAGTAGGTAGTGACAAAGAGAGGGACAGGTACAGCTGCTAGTCCCAGTTAGTAGCAGGGACAGTCACAAGGAAACAGAAGTAGACTGTCAACAGCAGCAGCTCTCACGACACCCCTTCCCCCAGAGCCTGCAGCCCAAACCACTGCCCTCTGTTGTGAGGAAACCACTGACGCTTTCTCATCTGTCCTCAGCTTTGCTTTGGTGAGCGACAAGCTGTATCAGCGGAAAGAGCCCGTTATCAGTTCCGTGCACACCAAGGTCAAAGGCATTGCAAAGGTGACAGAGAGTGTCACCGAGGGTGGGGTGACGAAGTTAGTCCACAGCATCTTTGACACTGCGGACTACACCTTCCCTTTGCAGGTGAGTGTCAGGTCACATCCCTGTCCCTATCCTTAGGGGTCTCGGGCCTCATTTAAAAAAAAAAAAAAACTATCTTGGGGCTAAGGATTTGTCGTTCAACTGGTAGGATGCTTGGCTAGCACGAAAGAAACTCTGTAGCCCCAGGAGGTCAAGGCTGGAGAATCAGCTGTTCAAGGTCACCCTCAGCTGCACAGTGAGTTTGAGGCCAGCCTGGAATACGTAAGACCTTGTCTCAAAAGAAAAGAAAAACATTGGCCCTATTTAAAACCTGTGAAAAATCCCAACTGAGAAAACCTAAAAATTGCAAAACTGGGTCACATCCAGCCTCTCAAAGAAGATGCGTCTTTGCTTTATCCAGTCCTCCCGGGCTGCTCAAAATAGCACTCCATCCTGGCGGATTCCAAACATGATCTCATTCACTCACACCGAGGCGCACAGGGCTTTAGGAGTAGGGTCGCCTCCTGGCAAACTCAGCCTCGGTTCAGAAGGGCAGGGGGCTTGTGTGTCCTATTATTGAAAAGGTCGCCAGGAGAGACTGTTCTTGAGTCTTTTGAAAGAAAGGATGTGGTGACGAGGAAAGAAAAGGTGTAGGCCATGGAGAAATGTGTGGCTAGCTGAGTCTGCAAAGCAGGGAAAATGAAAGCAGTTACCAAAAAAAGGAGAAACAAAAGAGGGGCCCGTGGAGTTAGGAACAGATGGAGGGGGAGAACAAAATGGCCCGTTTGCCACCCTGGGGAGCCAGGGCACTTGGCAAAACCATCAGGGCCAAGCCGTTATTTGTTTCTAGCTATAAACCACAAAAGCCACTGATTGCCCAGGTGGTGGGGAGCCACAAAAGCCACTGATTGCCCAGGTGGTGGGGAGCCCCGTAGCCTTCCATTAAGCCTTGAGAAATCTGAACAGCCTGCTCAGGGCGCAGCCCACACCCCACCTCCTCACCCCCCAGCTCCCCGGAGTCTTGATTTAATGGGATTTTACTGTGTCACAAAATGATACAGCTGCTTTTGAGGCTGGCTCAGAAAATGACTGCTCCCCTAGTTTGAAAGCTCCTCCGCTCCCCGCCTTGCCCGGTGGGACAGTTCCTGCGGCTTTGATGTCAAGCCCTCGGCAAAGTCCGCGCTGCCCACGGGCTGATTTCTAAAGGCTTCCGAGAGTACAAAGGCTCGCCCCCGGCACTTAGCAAAACATATTATGACGCCTAAGGAGTTCTGCTCCCTAAGGCCTGGCCTTTGTCCCTCCACTTCTCTCTGCAGGGGAACTCCTTCTTTGTAATGACAAATTATCTCAAGTCAGAAGGCCAAGTGCAGAAGCTATGTCCTGAGGTAAGAGGGACGTGGTGGGGAGCGGGAGGGTACGACACACCCACCCAGAGAGGACGCAGGGCTGAGATGCATTCTGGGAACCAAGAAGTCTTTGTCTGCCCACCTCCTGCCGCAGGGCAGGGGCCTGTGAGAACACCTGCTCTCTCCTTCGCAGGCTCTCTCTGCAGTTCACCATAGTATGATTCCTGGCAAGTGTGTGATCCATTTCGCTTTTCACTGGAGCCTCTCAAATTCAGAAAGATAACTCCTAGGCCCCATTTTATATCAGAGAATACTTAAGACATAGCATGATACACAGCGAGCCCTCAGAAAATGTCCGGCTATTGGATCCAAGAGGATCTCTCACAGCAAAAGAAACCCAAGGCCTCCACAAGGCCCAGTCAGTCTGGAAGGCACCACCTGACTCTGGGAAGGGGCGTTTAGCCTACATTACATTCTGGCCTGGGTCATTCCACCTGGATGAGTGTTTCCTCTCATTTGTCAAGACTCTATCTCTGGTCGGCTCAGTAAATGTGGCCAAGACCTGATGTACATCTGAATATACATGGGTGCGGTCCAGCTATTCACACTCCTGTGGACCTGAAGGGCTTCACACAGCTGGGGTTGTTCTCACAGTTCCATGGTGGACTGAGCTCAGCTGGGTGGCTTTTCTGTCGAGTTGGCTTGTTTCTCCCAGAGCTGCCATTAGTCTCCTTAGGAGGCTCAAAGTACTGGGTTCCTCTCCACATCCAGGGACTCTTCAAAGAGTTTTTCTCTTCTCAGGGTCTTTCCACCCTCCAGGAGAGTAGCCAGTTTTCCAAACTAGCTCAGGAATCCCAGAACCAAGAAGGAAGAAGGCTTTTAAGCCTGGAGCTGGCATAGTGTTATTTCTGCTGCCTCCTGGTAGTTCTGTGATCACAGATGGGGCCAGCTCAAAAGGGAGGGAAATACTTGGTCTGTTAGTTAGGAGAATGACCAAGAACCTCTCCAATCCATGCAATAATCATGAACTAATGTTAGAGTTTCTTTTAGAGATTTTTTTTAAAAAAAAAAAAACAACCTCAAAACAGACACATACCCCAAACAAAAAGCCAAAACAAACCCAAACACAGAATTGGTTTATCTTCTTTCCTTCTAACTGATAAATAAAAATCACAACTGCCCAAGAGCATTAGTGTGTAATAACTCATTCATTCATTCATTCATTCATTCATTCATTCATTCATTCATACTATGATTACCAAGACCTATAATGAGTCTGGCAGGCAGTTAGACTATAAAGCTGTGACTTAGGCTTTGCAGGCAAAAGATTCATAGTTCAATTTAGGGGTTACCAAGAGAAGAACCCAGGGGCCTGGTGGATCACGGAAAGAAAGCAATCCAGGCAGTAAAAAGAAAATGAGTCTGAAAACTGTGAGCTATACACAGAGCCAGGACTATATGCTAAGCTCTCTTTCCCAAACCCATTCCACCATGCCAGACAATGGGAGTTACCCTCCTTCAACGGAGGGGTCAAAGCTTAAAGGACATGAAGTGGCTCGTCCAAGGTAACACAACCCACATAGAAGGCTGCTCTCACAGAACCCAGGAGTACCTGGACTCAAGACCTAAAACCTTGGCCAGGATCTTAGATACAAATGCCCAGATGACAGTAAGCACAGGCCATTGTGCACCGGTGTTTGTTCTGTCTTTCCCGAGACTGCCATTAGACCCGGTCCATGAAGTCAAAATGCAGAAAGCAAACACTCTCTTTCCTCTTCCCTTATTCTGCTCTTCAGCCCCCGAGACACAGCTGACCCATTTTCTCCAGCCAGGAGCGTGCTGGCCGAGCCCTTTCTTCCCATGTCACCTGCTGTGTTGTGGTGCCTGTCTGCTTCCGTGGTTCTGTGGTGGCAAGGCCACTATAACCCTCAACCTTGCCACCTGCTCTCTACCCCAAAGACCGTCCCAGAAAGGGCTTCTTGGCTGCCTTGACCTCCTCTGTTTACATTTTGATTTATTCTTGTTTTTAATTGAGATTGACTCATATACTTTAAAAACCTATGACTTCCGAGTATACATAGTGCAAACCACCACCTAGTTTCAGAAATTTTTTATCACCCCTGCCGCAAGGAAACTTTGACTCCCAAAACAAACTGTCCCCATTAGTAACCAATTTCTCCCACCCTCCTCACAGCCGCCGACAGCCATCAATCCGCTCTCTGTCTCCATGGATTTGCCTATCCAGGACATTTCCCATCTAGAGTACCATTCAGAATGTGGCCTCCTGCGTCTTGCTCCTTTCTCCCCACACCGCGCTTTGAGGGCAGTACATAATGTAGCATGTGTCAGGACCTGGCTGAGTAAAGACGCCACATATAGGGGCCTGGGAAGATGGATCAGTCGTTAATGTGCTTGGCATCAAGCATGAGGATCTGAGTTTGATTCCCCAGCATCCATTATGAAAAGCAGGGTACCGCTGTGAACACTTGTAATCCTGGTGCTGGAGAGGCAGACTGGTGGATAGCCACCTCGGCTTGATGGCCAGTCAAATAGGTGAGCTACGGTCTCAGTAGGAGACCCTATCTCAAATATATATACATACACACACACACACACACACACACACACATATACATACATATATATATATATATATACATACATACATACATACATACATATATATATATATCTTGGTGGCTCAGGAGGCAGTGCTCACTCTCTGTTCTTCCTGCAGTATCCCAGTCGCGGTGCACAGTGCTATTCTGACCGGGGTTGTCAGAAGGGATGGGTGGACGCGCAAAGCAAAGGTACTTTTCTATGTCTTTCCCTGGACTGTTGAGAGGGGGTGGTCTGGCATCTTTGGGACACTCATGACATCCAGTCTTGGGTCCTTAGTCTCTGGCTTTTGGCTACCTCTTGCTCCACCAAATCACAGGTGAGACTGTGTCTGTCCCCTGATCTGTCCCCCACAGGCCAGCTGAGGCCTATAAGCGGGACTTCAATTCCCACTGAGACACGCCGACTCCGGGTCTAATTGTTGGAACATTTCCCCAAAGGTGGAGGAACATGAACTTGAACCTCCAAGGACCTGGGGGTTTAACTTTTCCATTTTTTATGTCTCCTTCCTTCCTCCCTCCTTCCCTCCCACCATCTCTCCATTCCTCCCACTTTTTTTTTTCCTTTTTCTTTCTCCATTATAGAGATTGAACCCAGGGCTTCATGCAGGCTGGATAAGCATTCTACTGACGAGCTAGAGCCTCAGCCTTGCAAAAAGATATTGCCTTGTGTTTTGACTTTAAAATGTAGTAGTTGTGCAGGTCTCTAATCTCAGCACGAGGCAGAGGCAGAGGGGCAGAGGGGCAGAGAGAGGCAGAGAGAGGCAGAGAGAGGTAGAGGCAGAGGAGCAGAGGCAAAGAGGCAAAGAGGCAAAGAGGCAGAGGCAGAGAGAGGCAGAGGCAGAGGCGCAGAGGCAGAGGGAGAGGCAGAGGGGCAGAGGCAGAGGGGCAGAGGCAGAGGGGCAGAGGCAGAGAGGCAGAGGCAGAGAAGCAGAGGCAGAGAGGCAGAGACAGAGAGGCAGAGGCAGAGAGGCAGAGAGGCAGAGAGGCAGAGAGGCAGAGAGGCAGAGAGGCAGAGAGGCAGAGAGGCAGAGAGGCAGAGAGGCAGAGAGGCAGAGAGGCAGAGAGGCAGAGAGACAGAGAGGCAGAGAGGAAGAGAGGCGGCTGACTTCCAGGCCAGCCAGAGCTTAAATAGACAGATACTGTCTCAAAACCAGGAAGAGCAAACAGCGGTTACAATGTATACACTCACACTCACAGACAGACACATGAGTGTTGAGTTCCACTCCATAACATGTGTTTGTGAGTTGCCATGGAGATCATCATAATGTGGCTTGCCCTTTAGCAAATCCTCTACTTTCCCCACGCTTCAGAAGGATGCTCCCTAGTTCATTCTTTACTCACCCCCAGACAGACTGTGTACCCTAGAGGTACCCAGATATCATGTAAGAAGCTATACTTTGGGTCCATGTATAATATATATTGAATATAGAAGTCGTTTCTCAGACATTTCTATCTTCAAAAAACAAAACGAAAAACCCAAAGGGCGGGCTGACTCCAGCATCTGAGCCATCCCTGGGCCTTTCTAAGGATGTACTGTCAAATGATCTGTTTGGCTTTGGGGGTACATATGTGATGAGGGTGGGGTTCACGGACAAGGGAGCTGCTTGGGCTTAAGAGTGTAGACTCTCGGCATGGGCTGAGTGCATGGTGGCCCCTGGAGATATTCCTCTCCCGGTACATTCACATCTGTGGTTCTTCAACCCCTTGGATCTTATAGGAATCCGGACTGGCAAGTGTATACCATACGACCAGACCAGGAAGACCTGTGAAGTCTCTGCCTGGTGTCCTGCTGAGGAGGGGAAAGAAGCCCCCCGGTGAGTTGCATGGTTGGGGTGGGGGGCAAACAGCGGCTTTAGCAGTGCTAACCTTTCCAGGGTTCCTAAGCTTCTCTGATTAACATTAGACCTAGGTGCAAAATCCGGGCTTGGAGACTCTATGCCATCTCTAGGAAGGCTATGCTAGCTCTGTGGTTCTGGGTTCCGCCTCTTCCGATAGGGTACCTGGAGAGGCTAGGGCAAAGTCTGGAATAGTTGGGGTCTGTAGTTTTCTTCTTCCCTCCAGGGCATCACATGCTGCTGTATGCCAGACCAGGGAGGATAAAGTGAGGTCCAGGACGAAAGGGGTAAAGGGCTCCACAGAACTCTGGCCGGGAATGACGTAAGCAACACTGCCCTTAGGAAAGAAATAAAGAGGGGCTGGAGAGATGGCTCAGTGGTTAAGAGCACTGACTGTTCTTCCAGAGATCCTGAGTTCAATTCCCAGCAGCCATATGGTGGCTCACAACCATCTGTAATAGGATCTGATGCCCTCTTCTGGTGTGTCTGAGAGGGTGACAGTGTACTCATATACATAATATAAATCTTAAATTTTAAAAAAGAGGAAAAGGAATAAAGAGGTTCCGGTGGCCTGTGAGAGGCAGGTGACATTGTCAAGTGCTCAGATGTGAGCCTCTGTGAGTTATGGGAGCCTGACCAGGCAGATGGTCCTTTTTTGTTTTGTTTTGTTTTGTTTCGTTTTTGTTTTTCGAGACAGGGTTTCTCTGTGTAGCCCTGGCTGTCCTGGAACTCACTCTGTAGACCAGGCTAGCCTCAAACTCTCGAACTCAGAAATCTGTCTGCCTCTGCCTCCCAAGTGCTGGGATTAAAGGCGTGTGCCACCACTGCCCGGCTCAGATGGTCCTAAAAGTCCAACAATGAGTGGTTTTGGGTGGTGGGGGCGAGCCTTCCCCCAAGTGTTACAGCTCAGTAAAACAGCCAGTCTCAGACCATCCTCGGTGAAATAACTTGTGTGCTTTCTTCCATGTGGATAGGGACTCTGTGAACTTTGGGGAGTGGGATGGGATTTGGGGGTAAATGCATTCTATTGGCTGAGGCTAAGATGCTTCTGATGCTTTATTTGCATGGGGAAGACTTCCAGGTGCTGTGCTACATGACTGACCTGTGACCACCTGGTGGGGTGTCTCTGGAATATGTTCCGATGTAGCCATGGAAACGGGGAGGGAATTAGCCAGACTCCTGCCGGTCTCAAATCTGAGATTTCTGGGGTTTGTGCTTGCACCACCTCACTGACTCTATGCCAATTCCTCTGGTGGCATGGTTCACATGCCCCACACAGCCCTTAATGTGTTATAGTAGTCCTGAACCATGAGCACCCTTAGGTGACCCCGGCCATCATGGCTGCTCTGGAACCTTCCCCGAGAGCCACAGCAGGGTTGTTCCGACGCATGAGTGTTCATATTAAATGACAGAGGATATGAGGAAGCAGAGCTGGAGAGGTCACTCAGCAAGTACAGTGCTGCCCAGCAAGCCTGATGGCTATAGTCCCAGCTGAGGTGGCAGAGGGCGGAGCGTCCCTGGGCTGCTGGCCAGCTAGTGCAGCCAAATTGGTGAACTCAAGGTTCAGTGCCTCAAAAAATAAGGTGAAGGGTGACTGAGGAAGACACCTGGTATCAACCTTTAGCTTCCACACATGAGGAGTCTAAGGCACCTGTATACACATGAACAACACACACACACTCCTCCTAGAAGTATAGTGGTTCGAGACAGCTCTGTCCAATAGAACTTTCTTCAGTGATGGGAACGTTTGGTACCCATGGTGTCCAATATGGTAGCTATCAGCTACCTGTGGTGATTGAACTCATGAAATAAGGAATGGAATTTTCATTGAAAATACACTTAATTTTTAATTTTTTATGTTACACTTCTTTACATTTGTTTGTCTGTATATGTGCCACGCCATGCATCTGGACCTCATGAGACAACTTGCAGAAATTGATTCTTTCTTTCCACCATGTGGGTCCTAGGGAGCGAATTCGGGTCATTGAGGCTTAGTGGCAAACACCTTTACCCCCTGAGCTGTTTCGCTGGCCCTAACTTAAATCTCATAGGCACCTATGCTTTAAGGCTCCCCAGACTTCCCAGGACTCATGACCACTTTATATGTGGGACAAAGAGATGCCCAAGCTGGCATATAAGGGGGCTCAGGCCAAGATCCACCCCGGCATCCAGTGCCAGGTCCAGGCAGTAGGCCGTACTACCCTTTCTGGCCTTCGGTTGCCATTCTAGTTTCATTCCTAGGTCAGGGAAGTTTCTTTGTGCAGAGGGTACTACACTGCGGGTGACATCTCAGCCTATACCCAGGACTGCTTGGCTCCTCCCAGAAGACTCTATGGATGTAATTTTGGCTTTGCCACCAATTCATTCATCAGCCAAGTCCCATGCATCTCCACACACCTGTCATAGGGCTCCATTCTTCATTCCTTTTGTGGTTATCAACGATGTTGTCTTTGAGACAGGGTCTCACTATGTACCCTTGGCTGAAAACCAGGCTGGCTTCGAACTCAGAGATCCACCTGCCTCTGCCTTCCTCAGTGCTGAGAGTAAAGGCATGTGCCACAATACCTGCTGAGGTTTTTTTGTTTGCTTTTTTATTTTTGTTACTTTTTAAGACAAGTTCTCACTGTGGGGTTGGTGCTGGCTGCATTTTGTAATCCTCCTGCCTCAGACTCCTAAGTTCTAGGATTATAGGCATAAACCACTAAACCAGCTTCCTGGGTAGCATTTTAGGCGAGCAGTCTCCTCACATGGTATGTGAACCGGGGAGGTTGGTTCAGGTAACTCTCCGCTCATTCAGGATAGCTACCAAGGAATTGACTTTCTTCAGTTACTTCTCCTATGTGTCACTCCATATAATATAAAAAACAAAAACCAGACAGGGAGTAGGTTCCAAGGTTCTTGCTCTGTGATAGACAAGACATGCAGAGAAAGCGTAATTCAAAATAAAATGCTATAAATGTCAGGTGTGAGGATGCTGCAGTCTTTGGAGTCTTCATTTTTATTTTTATTTTTTATATATACACATGAAGCTTTAAAACTTATGACAGTTTCATACATATTATATATAATGTATTTTGATCATATCTAACCCAAATTTCCCCCTCTCTCCCTGGGTCTCTTTCTCAAATACTTTCTTCTTCCGACGTCACGCCCCTCCCTTTTCATGCCCCTCCCCTTTCACGCCCCTCCCCTTTCATGACCCTCCCCTTTCATGCCCTGCTCCTTCATGACCCGCTCCCTTTAAAATAATTCAGAGTCCAGTTAGCTGTGTCTGCACGATCATAGGTGTAGGCCATTCACGTCAGTATGGGTAACACAGCATAAAGAGAAAGGCCCACTCTTCAGGCAGCCATCCATGGTTTGCTAACAGTTCCTCCGCTGTGGGCGGAGCATCATCAGCTATGGGCGGAGCATCATGATCGCAGCTCCCGTCTATGCTGGGAGGCTGACTAGCTGATTTTTTGTAGATCTTATGTAAGTAACTATAGCTGCTATGAGTTTATAAATGCAGCAGCCACGTCACGCCCAGGAGACAGCTCTGGTCCCCATCTTCGGCTTCTTCACATTCTTCCCAGGCCCTCTTCCCTGATATGTCCTGACCCTTCCGGGAGTGGGTGATATAAATGTCCCATTTAGAGCTGATTGCTCAACTGTTAGTTTTCCTTAGCACTTTGACTAGTTGTGAGTCTGTGGATTCGCTGCTGCACACTGCAGAAAGAAACTTCTCTGACTGAGGATGACAGGAACGTTCAGGAGAGTAGAAGCAAACATGTAGACAGTGGTTTGGTGTGACAATGCAGTTCATTTAGAAAAACAGCAGTAGGGTCTCCCTAGGGCCTCTGACCTAAGCCATGGGCTTTTAACCAGATTTGCAGTCCCAGACAGGAAGTCCCTCCTGTTCTATGGGCCTCACATCCAATCGGAAAACACTTGGTTACCCCCTTAGCCTTCATGCCATTATGTTGCAAATCTTGCCTGGCAGGCTGGTGTTGCAACATGCAGAGATCACCCCTGGCAATACCACTAAGGACTTCTCTCCCTCAGTGGCCTGCATAGCACTCTCGGCGCTAGCAGGCAAGGAGGAAATCTCCAGGTCAGTTCCAGCTTGAGTCAGTTCCAGCTTGATTTCTCCATGCCAACAAAGGGTGTTATCATTTCAGTAAAATGTTCTTATCAACTACTTATGGTGAGCAACCCAGAACTATGGCGATAGCTTATTTTGTGGATCCCAAGGTCCCCTTCCTGTGGCCTGGAATTTTGGTTCCTCTAACTTGGTGAAGAATTAAATGTTCTCCAAAGCCTCTGATGAATGAATGAATGAATGAATGAATGAGTGAGTGAATGAATGAATGAATGATACAGACAATTCTGTGTAGTCCTGTGATTAAGGCTGAGCATACCAAAGTAAAATTATTCTTCAGCCTTGTAGGGCCTTTTGAACCCCTACAGGAAGCTACAAACACGGCTGCTCAAGAGCTGACTAGCACTGGCTTCAAGCCAACTATACTCATTCAGTCTTGGTTTCAAGTTTACTGATGGGGGTGGGGGATGGGGAATTGACCCCAGCCGTGGTAGCGGTACTTCTACCATGACAATCACCAAGTGCTACATTTGAGGCTCTTTCCAGTTTCTCCCTTGCAGAGCTAGTTGTCAGATGTCAACATGTCACCGCACACAGCCGAACATACAGTTGTATCAGTATTGGACGTGACCCCATAATTGCCATGGGTGGGGGGCGTCTCAAGAAGGGAAGAGGCTTCTTGGAGAAGCTACAAGGGTTCATGGAGAACTTTGGAACATTTTGCTGAGTTACTGTGCTTGTTTCTCTTCACGCATAAACATAAAACCTTAACCCTCTGGTCCACGCACTCTGTCCCTGAGGTCACGGTTCCTTGTCTTTCTCTCCTAGGCCTGCACTCTTGAGGAGCGCTGAAAACTTCACCGTACTCATCAAGAACAATATTGACTTCCCTGGCCACAACTATACGACGTAAGCATCTCAGATGCCTGGCTGTCCGTGTCAGTTTGTTATCTGCCGTGGAACAGATGATCCCAAACCTAAGAGCCTAAAATTACAAAAGCTTCTTCTTGCTCTCTCAGCTACGGATCAGGAGTCTGGAAACGTCTTTGCTGGGTGCTTCTGGCTCTGGTTCTTTCTAGAACTGTCAGTCAGAGCTACTCTTGGCTCTACGTTTGATTAGAGCAGAGCCCCTCTCCAGTTTCACCCATGTGCCTGGAGCAGGAGGGCTAGGTTCCTCACCATGATCATCTTGCCTACGGATAATTAGGACATGGTGGGTGCCCCACTTGGGCAAGCAATCTGAATAGCAGCAGATTACCAAGGGCAACTAATGTGGAAACCTAGGTCTTTGGGAGTGATAGCCCACCAATTCTACAATATGCTATTGGCTCAAAGACTGCTCTTAGCACAGTGTAAGAGGACATTCCATCAGGGTCCCCAGAAGATAAGGGGGCTGCCACGGGGCTCACATAAATCTGTTTGTAGTTGATCAATGTCAAGTTCAATAATGTTGCTTTGGGAGCTTGATAGCAGCTGAGGCGGAGGGATTTACGCCACAGTCGTCAGCAAGCAACATGTATCAGCTGTTTGTTTTCCCTTTAGAGAGTCGCTTGTTAAAGCATCCGTTTGTTTGTGATTCTGCACAGGAGAAACATCTTGCCAGATATGAACACCTCTTGTACCTTTCACAAGATTTGGAACCCTCTGTGTCCCATCTTCCGACTAGGGGACATCTTCCAGGAAGTAGGAGAGAACTTTACAGAGGTGGCAGTTCAGGTTGGTGAAGTCTTTATACAGTGGTTTTATGGGGGTGGTTGGGGGTGGGGTGGAGGTTGTCAAATGTCAAGTGACAGCGTCTGACGGTAGAGGCTGACATTCTGGGTTCTGAAGTCACGACGAACATTCACTGAATATAAATGAACTATATCCAGTGCCCAGGGCTTTAGCTGCATTCTTTCAAGGAATCCCACAGTTCTGAGTGAGCTGCTTGGAGAATTTCTCCCCTGATTGCAGTAGCAACTTACCACTAACATGCCAGCTTAAAATAACCTATGTTGGGGCTGGAGAGATGGCCTAGAGGTTAAGAGCACTGACTGCTCTTCCAGAGGGCCTGGAACCACATGGTGGATCACAACTATCTATAATGGGATTTGATGCCCTCTTTTGCTGTGTCTGAAGACAGGGACAGTGTACTCCCATAAACTAAATAAATAAATCTTTTTTAAAGAATAGTATCATACATCTTCTCCCTGCACCTGGAGTAGAAGTCCAGATTTGCAGCGGACCTCCGGGTGTCAGCGGCAATGCACTCCCACTGCCTTACCACCTTCCCGGGGCTCCATCTTTAAGGCTAGTAAGCAAGCAACTTGTTTCAGTGGCCACAGTGACTTGTTGTTTTCCTCTGTTTGGGTTTTGTTTTGTTTATTGAGACAGTGTTTCTCTTGTGTAGCCCTGGCTGTCCTAGAACTCACTCTGTAGACCAGGCTGACCTCAAACTCAGAGATCCTCCTGCCTCAACTTCCCTCGGCACGCTGGGATGAAATGTGTGTGCTACCACTGCCCATCTGACTTTTTGGTTCTTTTTGGTTCTCATCAGGCAGCCCAGCCTGGAATTCTCTAGCCTCCCAAGTGCTAAGATTCCATGAGGATGACACAACGTTTGCCTGATTGCTCTCTCTTATAAAAACACTTATCTTTAGGGGAAGGACATTTCTAGGAAAGGGCACGTAAGACCAGGTAGCCTGTCCATCTCAGGACCCCTTCATTTGCTCACAGCTGCTAAAGCTTTTCCTAAGGGAGCTCAGGCAGAGGGCAGAGAGGGCCTTTGCCGCAGTCCCCTGGATTCCAGGCTAACCAGTTCATTTTAATCTTTAACGGGGAGGAGTTAGGAGGGGGAGTTTGAATGCAGGGATGGTTTGTCGAAAGATACATTTCAAGAGTAAATGTGAGATAGGCAGGCCCCAGATAGGAAGCACCGGGAGGCATGCCTGCTGCCACTACAGTATGCTGGCCCACGTTTATGGCACTGAAACCTTTTAATGATATATTCCCCAGAGAGGAAAACCTTCCCTGTGATGATTACTGAGCAGGACAGTGGCTGCATAATCCACACCTAACAGATTTAGTGACTTCTCTTTTTAACTGTCTCCCGTCTCCCCCCACGCCCCAGGGAGGAATCATGGGTATTGAGATCTACTGGGATTGCAACCTGGACAGCTGGTCCCATCACTGTCAACCCAAGTACAGCTTCCGCCGCCTGGACGACAAGTATACCAATGAGTCCTTGGTCCCCGGCTACAACTTCAGGTAACAGTAAGAAACATGCCCATGGGCAGACATCAGCAGACAGAAAAGACAAGGGGCTTCTTCATGCTTGCTGCTGTATTTGAATAAGGGCACACAGATGAAAACGTGAGTAAACAAAACATGATAGCTTATCAACGTTTCCACTCATTAGGGAAATGCAAATTAAAACCACAATAAGATAATATTGTAGAGCCAATGAGATGGCTCAGCGGGTAAGGGTGCTTGCTGCCGAGCAGAGAGGCCTGAGTTTGATCTTCGGAACACACAAGGTTTAAGGATAGAACCGACTCTCGCAAGTTATGCTCTGACTTCCACACACATGCGTGCTGGAGCGCAAGCACGTGCACATGCTTGCACACACACACACACACACACACGTCCGTGCCTAATAAAGATTAAAATTGAAAAAAGCGATTCAACTGTACATACACCAGAATGGCTACAGCTTTAAAAGACAAGAGCTGGAGAGACAGCTCAGCAGTTAGGAGCACTGGCCGCTCTTTGAGAGGACCCAGGTTTGATTCCCAGCACCCACACAATGGCTTACCACCTGTATATCCAACTCCAGGGATTAATCTACTACCTTTTTCTGACCTTTTTGGGCACCAGGCATGCACGAGGTACACATACATACATACATACATACATACACACACACATACACACATACATACATACATACATACATACATACATACATACAGATAAAACACTCATAAACATAAAATAAAGATAAATTTTTAAAAATACAACAACATAAAACAAGCATTCTTCTTTGGGGGCCTCTCCCCTCTTAGGAATTCTCTCATTTTTCCTTAATAATAAATCTCCATTCACTCTGTTTCAAAAGTAAATAAAATTTAAAAGTCAAACAAAAAAGCTTTGTACACAGAGATTCATTATAGTCTTATTTATAACAGCAAACTATGAGAAATCAAATGTCAAACACAGATGAGTGGACAGCCTGCAGTATACTGGTACAGGGCAAAGCCTGCAGTATACGGGTACAGGGCAAAGCCTGCGGTATACGGGTACAGGGCAAAGCCTGCGGTATACGGGTACAGGGCAAAGCCTGCGGTATACGGGTACAGGGCAAAGCCACTCAGTATGAATAAGAAAGGAATGATGTAGTGACACCTGTGCCACCAGGGAGTTAGTTCTACAGACGTTATGTTGAAAAGCCAGAACTCAATGGTCTGTGCTACATGACATGATGCCATTCAAGAACAGGTAAAACATGGTCTGGAGAGATGGCTTGGTGCAGGGGCGCTTGCTGCCACGCCCAGTGACTGAGTTCAAGCCCCAGAATCCATATGATGGAAGGAGACAAACACCCCCTGTAGGTATTCTATGGCATGCATAGACAAATCCCACCCCCCCCCATTCTCTCTCATTCACTCAGAGTGTCTATGCAGAAGCAGAGACAGGTAAATCTCTGTGAGTTTGAGGACAGCCTGGTCTACATAGCAGGTCCCAAGCTAGCCAGAGCTACTTAGAGAGACCCTGTCTCAAAAAAACCTAAAATAAACAACCCCCCTCCCATTAAACAGAAAACCTTTAAGACTTATGCATTGTAAGACATGTAAATGACATCTCAGTAGAACAAACAGGTAAATCTAAATCTATGTCTAACGATGGCAAAGTGCTCTGAAGAAAATTAAGCAAGATAACGGGATAGGGATAGGAATAGGCAAACGTGGCCAGGGAAGCCTCTATAAGCACGCTCTCCTGCAGCCATGGCTTTCTCTCTTATCAAAGAGAACAGGAGCCTGGGCTCTGAGAAACAACTTGGAAAATAAAGTAACGTCTGTGGAATCCCTTTCAAGTCTACAGCCTGGACTAGCAGCTTTCACAAAGCAGTCCTCACCACCAGCAGCGTAGTGACTCAGAAATGCACATTCCTGGGCCCAGCCTAGATTCTCAGACTAAGTTAGGCTGTATAGGGGGCGGGCCCGTGACCTGCATTGTCACAAGTCTCCATGGAGCTCTGCTGTTAGGTCGAATTTGAACACTGCTGAACCAGATGCCAGTCTTCAGAGCTCCATCCTGGACCCTGGGTCCAGGCCTCACCTGGATGCTTGCTATAGTGGCCAGCATCACAATGCCCCGCCTTGCTATCCTGACTTAGCAAACACCATCACTGGAACAAGATCTCCTGGAGACTCCATTTATTTTTTTTTCCATGTGCAGAATGTTTTAAACTTTGTGATATTCTACACAAAGATCTGGGCTATTTTTCCTGAGAAACTAAAGTGTTGGACAAAAGATTTATAACTTAATAACACTGGGCTCATATCCCATACGATAGCATTGGTGGGGGCTGGGTATTGGCCCCTGTAGAAAGAGCATATGGCTTTTGTGATGTCACTGTTCCTGCCACTCCTTTATGTCTTTATATGTGACCGGCATGCTTTATGCCCAGCCCCTGTGGAGACCCTTGACTCAATAGCAAGCTGGCTGAGGCTTTCTGCCTCCTTGGGGTCAGTGAAATTTCATCCTGGGCTCAGGAAGAGGCTCTTAGTTTGGGTAACTTTTTGGTCATCCTTACTGAACAGAGTGATGAGCTGAATAGGCTGTGGCCATTAGCAAAGAAGAGAGGACCGGGTGACTGGTCCCCTGGCTGTCCTGGGCATTTTTATTTAGCAGGCAGACTAAGCATGCAAGGGCAGTGTACCAACAAGACATTACCCAGCATCCTCCTGGTCATAGAGCTAAACCTAAGAACATTTGGTTCTGGTGGGATCTGAGCTCTCCTGAGACCCAAGGGGACTGTGACGTCAGTAGTCAGTATTCTTTTAGAATAAAGCATTAGCTAATTTGTTGTTGAACGAGCACCAGGAGAAATCTCTGGCCAAAAATAAATTATAGAGATCTGATAGGCAAGAGGACAAGTTGTTTTTCAAAGAGCGTCACAAAGGAGAAGGAAATGACTGGCCATATGAGGTATTTGGGGGAAAATATAGCTTTCTTTTTTTTTTTATGGGAAGTTTAAAAGTTCATGTTATATAAGTTGGTCCTTAAGAGAAAGATTTATGTGGCCTGGAGAGATAGTTTGGTCAGGAAAGTGCTTGCCAGGCAAGCAAGAGGACGTGAGTTCAGATCCCCAGCATCCGTGAAAAACAAAAAACAAAAAAAACCAAGCCTAGTGGTTTGTGCCTAGAATCTGAGTGCTGGGCAAGCAGAGACAGGAGGATTCCTGGGACTTACTAGCTAGCTGGTCCAGACAAACTGGTGTTCAGATGGTTCAGAGAGACCAGGTCTGACAAAATAAGGTAGAGTGGTCGAAGAAGATTCCTGATACAGTCACCTGTCTCCACACACACACTCACTAAAATGAAGAGGATGCACTACAGAATGTCCTCCTTTGATGAGCGCCCAATTCTGTTGACTTACATGTGATACAGGGGAGATAAGATGCACTCCTTGGGTCCAGAACATGTATGGATACGTATTCGTTTCCTTTGGTGCTATAGTAGATTACTATAAACGGTGTAAGGCAGTAGACATTCTCTCATAGAGACTAGAAGTCTGAGGAGACCGGTGTCAGAAGGGCTGTCTCTCCCTGAAGGCCTAAGGGGTCTTCTCTTGCCTCCTCTACTTCTATCTGCTCCAGGAATCTCCTGCCTTGTAGCTGAACCATTCCAATCTCTGCTTTCATCCCTAAATGGTCTCTCCGTTAATTTTTAAGGCTGCCTGCTGATCATGGGATGTAGCGCTACCCTGAACCCAAGGGGACCTCATCTTGAGATGCCTATTTACATTTTCAAAAACTCTGTTTCCAAATAAGGTCCTAATGATGGCACTGGCCTGGGGGGTAGGTACTTAAGCCTATCATCTTTGGGGAGAGGGCACTATTTAATCCATTACATGCAGAAAAGCGCCTTGTCCAGTGTCCCTTACTGGCACCACCTACCTGTACTGAGGTTGACTCCTAAAGCTACTCAGAGCTTCTGAAACCCCTCTTGGGCATTCGTTCAGGTCCAGGAGCCCTCTTTTTGAATAGTCTTCCCCCATATAATCTTTGCCCTCCATCATGATCTAGAATGGTCTCAAGAGCAGACAAGGAAGACTGGATTGCCTATTGGTTTGTTCTTTCTCCCCATAAAACACCAGCACTTTCAGAGTGGTTGCTATAGAGATGGCTGCTTTTCTCCCACAGATACGCCAAGTACTATAAGGAGAACAACGTGGAAAAGCGGACGTTGATCAAAGCCTTCGGCATCCGTTTTGACATCCTAGTTTTCGGCACTGTGAGTCTCTCCTGGTCCCAGCTCCTCCATGCTATGGCTGTCTAATCACAGACGTAGTGAGGAATGAATGCTAGAGGGTGCTGTCAGTAGTTGGCTCTGTGCTACTCACCTGTGGGATGAGAGGAGGAAGAGATGTGTTTGGGGATCTGCTGATGTGCAAACCACCTGAAAACATGGAATGTGACTGAGGAAGAATTCAAAGATGCAAGCTTTGTTTTCTTTTTCCGAGTCAGGCTTTTGCTGTATAGCCAGCTGGCCTTAGATTCTCAATCTCCTTGACTCATCCCTCCACGTGCTGGAATTATAGGTGGGCACCACCACGCCTAGCTCTGACAGTCAACATTTCAAATATTTTAATACTGAACTGGGGAGATAGCTCAGTGGGTAAAGTGCTTTACTGGACAAAAATGAAGACCTCAGTTGAGACTGCCAGAGCCCAGGGAAAAGACTGGGCGTGGCAATGCATGTCTGTAATCCCAACACTGGGGGTAGATGCAAGAGGATGATTCCGGGGATTCAGTGGCCAGCCAGGTTCACTGAGAGACTCAGTCTCAAAAAAAAAAAAAAATCACCCAAATAATCAACTGAGGAAAAAAAACATTCCAAAATCAACCTCTTCTACATATTTGCACAGATAAGCACACCTGCACACATTTGCACTCTCATATCACAGATGCCATACACATTAGATAGATAGATAGATAGATAGATAGATAGATAGATAGATAGATAGACAGATAGATCTGATACTGAGCTTGAGGTGTATCTCACTGGCAGAATGTGTGTTTATGTTTGCTGCAGACCTGGGTTTGATCTCCATCACCACGTAAACTGGTGCACACCTGAAATCCCAGCCTTTGAGATTCAGAGGCAGGAGGATCTGAGTTCACAGTCATGCTCAGCTACACATGGAGTTCAAGACCACACTAGGATAAATGAGATTCCACGTAAAAAAATGAAAATAAACAAAGGGCTGAAGAGATAGCTCAGCAGATAAGAACAGTGGCTGCTCTTCCCTCGGAGGACTTGGGATTGATTCCCAGCATCCACATGGGTACCCATAACCATCTGTAATTCCATTACTAAGTAATCCAGTGCCCACTTCTGGCCTCCATGGGCATAGGTACCCAGGTAGTATGTAGACATGCAGGCAAAACACCCATACACAGAAAATAATAAATCAAAAAGAAATAAACTTTGATACTTAAATAATAACAATGAATGAATGAAATTCTCTGCAAAATATTTTGTAACAGACTTCTAACTCAAACAGGCTTAGGGAGAAGTCTTTTGCCGGGAGGACTACTTAACAGGAAAATCGAGACAAAATTGCAGGCTTCAGATATGGTGGAATTTAGGCATTCAGAGAAGATAATCAGGAATCTGCCTCTGCTCTGCCATCTGCTCTGTTTGCTACTGTCCCCAGGCTGGCCACTTATCCACAGTGGTGTCGGATAGCTTCTGACATCTAGCGGGTTAACAACTTCAATGGAAACAAAGTATCTCTTTGCCAGAAGTCTCAGCAGAGGCCTTAGGCAGGAAGGTTCTGCTTGGCTCTGTGTGGGTCAGATGTCCACCACTACATCCATCACGATGATCAGAGTCATGCCGTATGTTCATTGGCTGCTGTTGGACCAGCCCAGACCTGGGCAAGGGGCCAGAGGACAGGACTAGGCATGTACTAAGGATAGTGTAGTTTTCCAGGGGAAAACTGGGGTGAAGGAAGAAAATGCCCAGGCACTCAGAAACCAGCAGATGCCACAGCACCCTGTTTGACAGCATGTGATTGATGTCACATTGTAGCATAGGAATCAATGAAATGTAAATCTGGGTGTTGGTGGCTCACACTTTTAATCCCAGCTCTCTGAAGGCAGAGGCACGTGGATCTCAGGAGTTCGAAGGCAGCCTGGCCTACATAGCAAATTCTAGAGCAGTAAAGGTTATATACATACATAAAGACCCTGCCAATAAATAAATAAATAAATAAATAGGAAGAAAGGAAGAGAGAAGAACCCATAAAATATAACAGAAAGGCCACTGAGAGGGGACCTTGAAGAGACCAATAAGAAGACAGATGTATGTAGACATCTCTGCTTCCCAAGTAATCACACACTACGGGAGAGCTTGTCCGGAAACCCTCATATCACGGAAAACACCCTTCAGTGTCCCTCCCCTTACTGACCATATATCTCTAAAACATTCTAGATGGCAGAAAGAGAGTCTCACTGCCTCTGTGTCACTGACAGTGAGTGCGCCAGTGTGTGTATCAATACTGTCACCTGGCTCTACACAGGCTACATGTAGGAACTTCAAGTTAGCCAGGGCGGGGAGTGGGGAGGTACCACCCTGAGCTCAACCGAGTAGTGCTTCCTGCTCTGTTTCAGGGAGGAAAATTTGACATCATCCAGCTGGTTGTATACATTGGATCCACCCTGTCCTACTTTGGCTTGGTAAGAGGTTCTCATCCTCATCCTTTAAGATAGTGATCCGGCTTGGGGGTGGGTGAGGGGGTGTCACACTCGGGAGGGCAGAGGCAGGCAGATCTCAGTGAGTTGGAGGCCAGCCTGGTCTACGTGGTAAGACCCAGTCTCAAAAACACAGTAGCAACAGAAAAAAAAAAAAAAGATGTAGAAAACCTTTGGGAAGAGACGTCTCATGGGAAGGGTGTTTGCTTCCCCACAGGCTACTGTGTGCATTGACTTGCTCATCAACACATACTCCAGTACCTTCTGCAGGTCGGGCGTTTATCCCTACTGTAAGTGCTGCGAGCCTTGTTCAGTGAATGAGTATTATTACAGAAAGAAGTGTGAGACCATCGTGGAGCCCAAGCTGGTAAGGCAAGCTGCTGCTGCTCTCTCTCTTTCTCTCTCTCTCTCTCTCTCTCTCTCTCTCTCTCTCTCACACACACACACACACACACACACACACACACACACACGCATATGCACACAGAGTCTTCTAGGTGGCTAAGAAATGTGTGAAAAAAATAGGCCACAATCACAGTTTGATCCCTAAGTGGATACGTTCATTGACGACCCAAACAACTGACTCTCTGATGAGTCCTTGGTTTTTTTTTTTTTTTTTTTTTTTTTTTTTTTTTTTTTTTTTTGGTTTTTCGAGACAGGGTTTCTCTGTATAGCCCGGGCTGTCCTGGAACTCACTCTGTAGACCAGGCTGGCCTCGAACTCAGAAATCCGCCTGCCTCTGCCTCCCGAGTGCTGGGATTAAAGGCGTGCGCCACCACCGCCCGGCAGAGTCCTTGGTTTTGAGAAAGAAGAGATCTGAAAATACAGACGCTCGATATCCAGGGAGGCAAACTGCTATGTTCTGGTTTTTGTCATTTATACATTGGCACAGCACACACACACCCGCCCCCGCCACCCACAAAGCACAATGGCTTCAAAGAACAAGTCATTTGGCAGTAATATTTAGATAGGGTTGTTTTATGTCCTGGTTTTTCCATGTTTCTCATACTTTTCTAGAGAAATCTTCACCCACGACATGCACAGTATATGTGTTCGGGATGTTCACTAAATTTTTGTTAAGTTACTACTAATGGTTGAGGGCCGGGGACTAGTTTAGTGACAGAGGATTTGCTCAGCATGTGTGAGGCCTGAGCTTGAGCTCCGTTATTGTAAAATAGATAAATAATTAACAGGAAAAACAAAGCAAACACATCTACCCAAATGGGCGAATAGTGAAAGATGCCATGAAAGATCCATAGTGAACAATACTAGTCAGCACTCAGGAAACTGACAGCAAGCAAGAAAAGAAAGCCTGGGTTAGCGTTAGCATGCATGTGTGTGTGTGTGTATGTATATGTATATATGTGTATATATGTATATATGAGATATGGTTGCATATGCCTGTAATCCCATTGTATTGGAGGTTAAGGTATCTTGAGACCTTGATTCAAACAGCAAACATACTTAGAAGTTTGGATACGGCGTCTCATGCCTATAATCCCAGCACTAGAGATGCTAAGGCAGGTGGATTGCCTTGAGTTCAAGGCTAACCTAGGCTACAGAGTAAGACCTTGTCTCAAACACACACACACACTGAGAGAGAGAGAGAGACAGAGAGACAGAGAGACAGAGAGACAGAGACAGAGAGACTGAGATGGGGAGACAGAGGAGATAGAGACTAAACGTGACTTTGTCCAAAGTCACATAGACAATAAATGGTGGAACCGAGGGTGCACCTGAGGCTGGCTGGCCTCGGAATCTGTTATAACTACTCAGGTACAGCTAATGACATGAGCAAATATCCAAGATGTTTTTGTTTAGAGGAAAAAAGTAAATAAAAGAACCATAACCATATGTCACAGTTTGTACGTTAAAAAGACAACTGTACACATAATCTACACAGTCTCTGTACGCACATTCATACAAATACATATACATGTTTACATGCATATGTGGGTCCTGAGGAGTGCTGGCAGTCATGGTTTTTAATGGCTTTGGTTTTACTAATTTGAACTTCGTGAGGCAGATCCACTCCACGCCCTTCCTTCATCCCCAGGGAAACCACTGGCTCCTGAAAACAACGGGGTTTACTTTGCTCTTGCCTGACCTGAGAGCATCACTGTCCTTCCCAGCAGTCGGCTGCACAGTTCAGTTTATCATCCATTGTCCTTGGGCTCCTGATGGAAATGAAAAAAGTTCAGCCAAGCTCAGTGTGGTGGCGTTGGCCTGCAACGCCAGCAGTAGGTAGCCGGAGGAAGGAGGATGGCATATTTGAGGCTACTCCAGACTGGAGAATAAGACTGAGGCTCAGGAAAGAAAATCAGAGCCAGGCAGTGGTGATGCACACCTTTAATCTAAGCACTCAGGAGGGAGAGGCAGGCAGATCTGTGAGTTCGTGGCCAGCCTGGTCTACAGAGTAAATTCTAGGACAGCCAGGACTGCACAGAGAAACCCTGTCTCAAAAGAAAGGAAGAGAAAAGAAAGGAAAGAGATGAAGGAAATAAGAAGGGAAGAAAGAAGAAAAGAGAGGAGAAACAGGCAGGGAATGAGGAAGGAAAGGGAAGAGGAAGAGGAAAAGGAAGATGGGTTCACCTTTGTAACTAAAACTCTCACAGCCTGCCTGGATGAGTAAAATGTATCGCCCTCCAGAGACTACATCTAGGTAAACTGAACTGCTAAGAGCTCACAGGCCATTACACCGTGCTGGGGTCCTACTGAATTGTGGGTAGGATGACTCTGCAAGTCACAGTGTGTGTGTGTGGGGGGGGTCGTCTGTGTCTGACTTCCCTTTGGGTCCTTACCTGCCTTGTCATGTGGAAATGTGATCAGCAGATGTGTTCACATCTTTCTGCAGAGGCGATTCTTGAAACCTCTGTACAGAAATAGACAAACGTTTTTAACTTTCATTTCCTAGACGTTAAAGTATGTGTCCTTTGTGGATGAGCCCCACATTCGGATGGTGGACCAGCAGCTGCTTGGGAAAAGTCTGCAAGCCGTCAAAGGCCAAGAAGTTCCGGTAAGTAAAAACACTGAATCTGTTTTTAGGAGATTTTTGCTCTTCAATATAAACAGTTGTGGATATTTATATAAATCACAGTTGATGAATTTTAGCAAAATAAACATTCTCATGGAACCAACATCCAGATTAAAAAAAATCAGTTGTTTGGGGACCGGGCAGAAGGCTCAGAGGGTAAAGGTGGTTACTGCCGAGGCTGATGACCCGAGTTGGATCCCTGAGACCCCACATGGGGAGGGAATGAGCCAATTCCACCAAGTTAGCCTCTGATCTCCGTACCTTCACTGAGGTACACATGTATGTATACACACACACACATACGCACACACATATATAATAAAAATTATTTAAAAATTAAATGGCTAGGGGTATATCTCATAGTAGAGAGGTTTTTGGGTTGGTGTTTGTTTTTTTTTTTTTTTTTTTGAGACAGGGTCTCTCTGTGTAGCCCTGCGTGCTCTGGAACTCACTGTGTAGACCAGGCTGGCCTCAAAACAGTACATCTATCTACCTGCCTCTGCCTCCTGATTGCTGGGATTTCTAGTAGAGTGTTTATCCAGAGAAGAGACAGAGAAAGACTGAATATTCCAAAAGTTCCTTCTATGCCTCTCCTAAATTGCCATCTTCCCTTAAAAATGGTCCTCGTCCTGCATTTAAGGATTAGGGTTTTTTGTTGTTGTTGTTCTTTTGAGACAAGATTGTGTAGCCTTGGTTAGACTGGAACTCTTATGAAGACCAGGTTGACCTAGAACTCAAAGAGACCTTCCGAGGGCTGGGATTAAAGGTGTGTGCCACCACACCAGCTTAACGATTATTTTTATTGATTCTGGAATTTTATAAAAGTTGACCTGTGCAAGCTGAGTACAGCTGTCTACACCTGTAACTCCAGCACTTGAGAGGTTGAGATCAGGGAGGTCGCTTGGACCTAGGAGATCAGACTGGCGGGGAAACCGAATGAGACCGAGTTACAAAGGAAAACTGAACTGTATATAAAGTTTCCTTATGCACGCTGTTATAAGAGCTACCTGACACTATATGTGGGGGTAGTTCATTCTTACATTTGTATAATTTCTGCCTTGTAAACATTCAGTTTATTTACCCATTTCAGCACGGAAGGAAGGGCATTTGAGAAGTTTCTAATATAGGGGCAGGGGAGAGGGGGCAAATGCCAATCACGTGTTGGCAACCATCCAGCGTTCTGTCTGGTGATCACCCGAGAGTCTTGGCTGGTGGATGTTCAGTGTCGGTGGATACCAACAAACAGCCACAAAGTGGCTGGGTTCATTGGTGCTCCCTCACACTTCTGATCCTTGGGTACCTTTGCCAGCTGTATTGATTTCCTGTGACTATAACCAGTGACCACAAATGAAGTAGCGTAAAACATCAGGCTTACTCTGCCAGTCTGGAGGGTAAAAAACGGCTGAAGTTAAAGTTTTCATGGGCATTGGTTCCCCCTGGAGGCTTCAGGGAAGAATCCCCTCCCTCACCCCTGAGTCCCAGCACTGGCTAGGCCCCAGCAGGCTCCTGCACCAGTGTAGAGAGTACGGGCCTCTACTTCATTTCCTGCCTCAGCAGACAGCCTGTCTAGTTCACTCTCCGCCACAGGTTTTTGGTGAGCTTTTAAGAATATGGTATCAGATTCAAGAAAATTCCCTTTCGTGTTTAGTTTGTCAGGAATTCTTTACAGGAACGGATTTGGAATTTTTAAATATTTTTTTCCTACTTCTTTTGAAATAATCGATGAAGTTTTTCTTTTTCCTGTGATGTTGTGAACTCCAATGACTGATCTAAGTTTCGGACTACCGACCGGGGCGTGAGTCTAGGGCCTTCCATATCATGGGTAAATGTAGCACTACTGAGTGAGAGTCATGTCCCTCCGCGTGTTATTTTGGGACAAAGCCTTGGTAAATTACTAGGGATGTCTCAGAATGATGAGCCTCAGCTTTCCAGGCTGCTGGGACTGACTTATGAAGGCTGAGGTATGTGTATGCATAGCGTTTGTTCGTGTGAATCCATGCGTGTGCAAGTGTGGGTGCACACCAGAAGCTGACACCACTAGTTCTCCTTAATCGCTGTCCACATTATTATTTCAAGACAGAGACTCTCACTGACCCCGAGGCTCACTAATTCCGCTAGACGGGCTGGCCAGCAAGCTCCAGGGATCCTCCTGTCTCTGTGGGACCTGAGGTACACCAGGCTCGGCTTGGGATCTAACACAGGTCCTTATGCTTGCATGATCCTACGACTTTCCATTTTAATGTGATGTGACATTCTTTGTAGTCACTAACGGATTTGATTACATAATTTGGGATGAGATTATTTTTATGGTTTATCTTGGGGAGAACCTGATCAAAATTTTTCTTTCTTGTAACGTCCTTGTGGAATATGGGTGGAAAGTGAACTACTTAGTTGAGTGTCCTGATATGATACATCTCTGTAGTCTTCGCATTTGTGAGGTACAGGCAGGGATATCAGGAGTTCAATTCCAGCCTTACATAGTGTTTGGGGGCCAACCTGGGCTACAAGAAACTGTCTAAAAAAAAAAAGTTTCTTAGTATTTGAGACTATAACTATTTGCCATTTTATGGCACACAATTCAGTAATGTTTCATATGTCACGATGCTATTCAGTTGAGGCCACCAACTCCAGACCTCCTGTATCTTCTCAGAAAGAAACCCCATATTCATCAAGCCTCTACTTCCCATTCCCAGTTAACTACTCACCTACTTCCTACTGGTCTGTTGACTCTTGAAGCTCTGCATAAGATGGGCCATATACCATGTGACCCTTTGTAACACTTCCCTTACTTAGCATTGTGTTTTCAAGGCTTGTCTACGTTGCTGTGTGTGGCCGTTTCAGTCTGTTTTGTGGCTTCATCATATTCCTGGACAGACAGACGGCCTGGATAGATCAGGGTATGCTTACCCACCCATTGGTTGGTGAACGCTGGGGTTGTTTCGGCCTTTTGGCTATTACGAATGATGTTGCCATGACCGTTCACATACACAAACTATTCAGTTTGAATGTATTTGGCTCGGGTCTTCATCCAGGGAATAAGGGTGTATGTCACGAAAACTAGGCATAGCCATTCTGGCAAGTTCTTTGGAAGATACCAAATGATATGCCAGTAGAGAGACTCTGGCAGGCATGGAGCAATCTGTCAACGAATGTTTCCTAGCTATTGTGTACTGAGCTCTGCCCAGGCACCAGGGAAATGCAGCAAATAGACAGAGTTTCTGCTTTCCCATGGAAGACAACAGTCAACAAGGAGACATACTAACTAGTTAGATCTTTTCAGAAGGGAGCCAGTCTCATGAAGAAGGCAGTCCACTATCTTGATATGGCTCGGAAATCACACAGGAAGAGACACACCCTCAGAAGGCAGCCAGGGCAAGAGGCTCTGTTCCAGTTGATAGCTGCCTTTTCTGAACATCATTTCCCAAAGATAAGTATCTATGCTACAAGAAGTTCTTAGCAGGCTTAACTGCAGCCCAGCCCTGATACAGACGTTTGATAGGGGTAGCTGTGCCAGATACTGAATATAATACTGAATGAGATTACGTAGGTTGACAGAGCTACCAAACCTAGAACTCGAGTGATTGTTTGCTGATGGATCTGGAAACTTGACTTTTTCAGAGACCCCAGACGGACTTCTCGGACCTGTCTAGGCTGTCCCTATCTCTCCACGACTCACCCCCAATTCCTGGACAATCTGAGGAGATGCAGCTGCTCCGTGAAGAGGTGGCCCCTAAGTCCGGGGACAGCCCAGGCTGGTGCCAGTGTGGAAATTGTCTCCCGTCTCAACTACCGGAGAATCGCAGGGCCCTGGAGGAGCTGTGCTGCCGGAGGAAGCCGGGACGGTGCATCACCACCTCTAAGCTCTTCTGTAAGCTCGTGCTGTCCAGAGAAGCCCTGCAGCTCCTCCTGCTCTACCAGGATCCCTTGCTGGTGCTGGAGGAAGAGACCGTCAACAGCAGGCTGCGACACTGTGCCTACAGGTGCTATGCCACCTGGCGCTTCGGCACCCAGGACATGGCTGACTTCGCCATTCTGCCCAGCTGTTGCCGCTGGAGGATCCGGAAGGAGTTTCCTAAGACTGAGGGGCTGTATAGTGGCTTCAAGTATCCCTACTGACAGTACGGCTGCCACTCTATGGTGGCTCGTAATGCAGCTTCTCTTGGAAAGATCTAGAGACACATTTTCAGCCAACAGGAACTTCAGTTTTCCTCCCTCGTAAGCTGTGCTGAAGAAGAGCTGATTAGGCCAACCACAAGCACACAAAGCCTCTCCAGATGGATGAGAACCGGATGCATATCTGAGCCTGCAGCCTGACCCTGGACTGCGGTGCCACCCTTAGCCTATAATGTGTACATAGGGTCCTCATATCCCGACCTCCCAGATCTACTCTCTCTGAGCTAGCATTGCGGAGATGCTGAAGGTGGTCTCTCACGTCCATGTTTACACAGCTCCATGGATGTAAAGACCCAACTCTGAAAACCAAACCTATTGAAATTTGAGAGTACTCTGAAATTAAATATAGCCACAAATTCTTTGACAACCTCTCACCCAACCCTCAAGACCCAAAGGTGTTGTTGTTTCCTCTCCCCATTATGGGCAACTCTGGCGGCTTCATCCCGTAGCGGATGTGACGTTACGTCTATTATTTCGGGGCCCTTGTTTTAAGAGGCTAACAGCTTCTGATTCCTGTCCTTGGAACTCTCGCTGAGAGGAAGCCAGCCCAAGGTAAGAGTCCGACTGTAAGAGCTTCTCTGCTGGGAGGAAGCCCAGGCAGCTCCAGGGAGAAGTATCCAACCCGAGCCAGTCCATCGCCTCAAAGTCCAGTCACCACACAGGGAGAGAAGCTGCCACTTTAAGGTGACTCCAGACATGACAAATGACTAAAACTGCAGGAGACAACTGCCCAGTCAACCCAGAGGACCACTCTCCTGCCTTAAGTCATTACATTTGGGGGGTGGAGGGTGTTGGCACACAACAATAGGCAACTGGAACAAGAGAAGCTGACTGAGGCCTAGAGTCACTACAAAATGTAGCAACGACTTCTATTGGGCAGTTGTAAGAGCTCACATTCACCAGACTAGAAGCCATCAAATCTAGCCGCATACAAGATACAGTTTGACCCTCATTGCTATCCTACAGTTCCAAGTGACTGGTATTGTCAGAAACCGGTAAAAGCTGTCCCTGTGCCTTTCATGTCCTGAACAGTACAGCCAATGAGTCCTAAGGCAATCTGAATGCTACTTTAGAAAGCAGCCCGAGCTGCCGGGTGCGGAGCTAACCTCTGCTCAGAAGGCTGACTCAGGAAGGTTAGGTATTCCAGGCAGCCTGAGCTGCATTGCAAGACCATGTCTTTTTTTTTTTTAATTTATTTTTATGTTTGAGTGTTTTGCCTGCACCATGTGCATGCCTGGTGCCTGGGGGAAGAATGTTAGATCTCCTGGAACTGGAATTGCAGGTGGTTATGAGCCACCATGTGGGTGCTGGGAAGCGAACTTGAGTCCTCTGCCATAGCAACAAAGGTTCTTAACTACTGAGCCGTCTCTTCTCTACATCTTCAAAGCCACGTCTTAAAATCATAGTCACAATAATTCAAAAGAGAGGGGAAGAGTGGCCAGGGAGATGGTCCAGTGGGTTAGAGCATCTTCTGCTCAAGCATGAGGACCTACGTTGGGATCACAGCATCCACATAAAGTCTGGATGTGGCCTGTCGAGGTGGGGTGGGGGTGGGGTAAGAGCTTGCCATGCAATCCAATGACCTTGAAACCCATGGTGAAAGTGGAGAACCATGTTCCCTGACTTCCACATGGACCACACACACACATGTACACACTCATACACACACACACACACACACACACACACCATACATGCACACTAATAATAAATAAAATAGATTTAATTTTTTTTTGAGCCGGGCGGTGGTGGCGCATGCCTTTAATCCCAGCACTTGGGAGGCAGAGGCAGGCGGATTTCTGAGTTCAAGGCCAGCCTGGTCTACAGAGTGAGTTCCAGGACAGCCTGGACTATAAAGAGAAACCCTGTCTCGAAAAACCAAAAAAAAAAAAAAAAAAGCTGTAATTTTTAAAGAAAGTCAGTACCCTTCCCTGTTTTCTACAACTGCTAAACATGTATGAGTGAACAGTCCCAGGTCTGGGGTCCTGCCTCAAGATTTCTTTTTGATAGTTCTTTTCCTCTAGACATAGATATTTGTTTCTAACAGAACAGAGACTTTGAGTATCATGAGAGACTGTGATTGGTAATCTGAGACTTTTAGATCTACTCTAAGACTTGCTATTTTGAGGCTTTTAAGATTGAGAAGCAATGCCCTAAATGGAGAGGGTGGGGCTGAGGTGGCGTTAATGAACGAAATTGCTTGCTCACATGTCTGATGGACCTCAGTTGGACCCTCTGGACCCACTCAGTGGGAAGAGAGTCGACTCCCATAAACTGTCCTCTGACTTCCACATGTGAGCATGGCATGTGTCCAACCCCGGGTCCCCAGTAAATGACTGTAAGGGGTTTTTTTTTTGTTGGTTTGGTTTGGTTTGGTTTTTGGTTTTTTAAGACACGGTTTCTCTGTGTAGCCCTGACTGTCTTGGAACTCACTCTGTAGACCAGGCTGGCCTCGAACCCAGAAATCCGCCTGCCCTTGCCTCCCAAGTGCTGGGATTAAAGGCGTGTGCCACCACTGCCCGGCAATTGCAAGTTTTAAAATCAGAAAACTTCTACTATAATATCATAAAACAACATGGATAAACATTTTTTTTAAAGCCCGGAGTTTTATCTAGCTTTAAACTCAGGAATCACAATAATTTGTACCAGCTTTGATTTTCATTTTCACTGTATTTTTGTTTGGTTTTGATTTTGGTTTTAGTTTTTTTTTTTTTTTTTGAGGGGGGGGAGGACTGTTTTTTGTTGTCATTGTTTTGTTTTGTTTGTTTGTTTATTTTTCAACACTGGAAAGCCTTGGCTGTCCTGGAACTCATGTGTAGATCAGGTTGGCCTTGAACTCAGAGATCCACCTGCCTCTGCCTCCCAAGTGCTGGGATTAAAGGTATGCAGCAGCACCACCACCAGGCTTGGAGATATTTTTTTTTAAAGTGGACTGTATTTGACTTCAAGAGTTGAGCTTTTTACTCCAAGAATTCTATGTAAGAGCTACAGGCTTCCCTTCCTGTGGCTTCCGAGTCTTTACACCTTTATCTTTGATGCCTCCTTCCTAGTGTACTTATGTCGCCTTGTTAAGGCTTCAGACAGTGAATGACCACTGGACCCTTCTATAGTGTTTCCTTTTGCCTCGGCCACTGGTGCTCTCCTGAGGGTGACATGCCATTCTGTGGATAAAATGACGCTTTCTTCAGCAGCAATGATATTTTGCATCTTTATTTTCGGTCTACTGCGTGAACAATGCCATGGTCTCAAGCCGTAAGCAGCTCATTTTGCAGGATAAGGTTCTTGTTAGACGCATTCTGTCCTGTCAGTTGCCCGGTATTCATGCCTTCCTTGGTCAGAACTGAGAGCTGCTTCTTGACGCAGACTGGCTGACTTCATATACAACTCAGGGTGGATTTCACATCTCTCTTTAAAGGGAAGCATCTTCTAAACTCTTCCTAATTCCAGGCTTGCCATGTAAGGGTTTTTTTTTTTAACTGTTTTAATAATAAAACTTGATTTAAATTCGTTTATTTAAGTCTTCTTTTTGATTCCTTCGTTTCAGAAGAGTCCCAAATCTTAATGAATTCATCCACTTTCCCAGTGATAGGTGATGTTATCCCTCCCGTGGGATAACGAGCACAGACAATGATCAGATGATTAAAGCAATGAAAACTTGTAACCTGTGGTGCGTGTCGTGATGAAGGCAGGTGATGCCCTGAGGTCCCTTAATGGGAGAATTTGACTTACATTGGGAGACTAGAGCGTTCTACCCAAGAGGAAGGACAATTTAGCTAAAATATGCAGAGAAACTCCTAGTTAACTAGAATTCTAAATGGGGCAGGGTATCGAGCACTCCAGGTAGTGATAACAGTATGTGTCCTACCTGCGTCCTTGTCACAAGCCTGATAAAGTAGTATGCTAAGATAGGACAGTAGCCATGAAAGTTTTTAAAGGAGAACCTGGTAAGGTGCATTTAACATTTAAAAGCTCACTGTGAACCAGGCCTGGTGGCACACACCTCCCAGCACTTGGAGACGGAGGAAGACAGATCTCAGAGTTCGAGGCCAGCCTGGTCTACATAGACAATTCCAGGCTGGCCAAGGGAACACAGCGAGACCCTATCTCAACACACACAACATACAAATAGAAATAAAAGATCATTCTGAATCGGAAGCTAGGGCTCATGGGAAGAACGCGTCTTGTGTGTGTGAAGCCCCAGGTTTGAATTTATTACTGAAAGGGAAAAAAAATCAGTGTGTAGAAAACATGAGTGAAGGTGGATAAGGTTTTAGTTTTTATTTCAGTCTTTCCTGAAACTTTTTCCTCCCTTACCCTGCTTGCTCTTCTCAGAAAGCCACAAAGGGCAAACATCCAGAGAAAAGGAGGGACGGCTCTGGTGTGCTTTGATTTTAGAGATGTCCCCATCCTGGGTTGGTGAGAAAACTGAGTTTCAGGCCAGGGATAGACACACGTGTCACATGGAGAAATGAAAAGCAGTCAAGAGAACCCACCAGCGCTTCCCTGCTCACTGATGGAACTGACCAATTAAGCCAATTTCATTCTCCCTCAGAATCTGGTCTCTTGTTCTAGTTAGCATCAGTTGTCAAGGAGACAGAGCAAAAAGTCATCCGAGAGGAAAGCCTCAATCCAGGAATGGACTAGATCAGACTAGTTTGTGGACATGTCTGTGGAGGATTGTCTGGGTCACTAGAAGATGTGGGAGAGCCCAGCCCACTGTGGGCAATACAATCCCCTAGGCAGCCCACTGTGGGCATCACCATCCCCTAGGCAGCCCACTGTGGGCATCACCATCCCCTAGGCAGCCCACTGTGGGCATCACCATTCCCTAGGCAGCCCACTCTGGACAATACAATCCCCTAGGCAGCCCACTGTGGGCATCACCATCCCCTAGGCAGGTAGTCCTGGGCTATACAAGAAAGCTAACTAAGCATGAGCCTGTGAATGTGTGAGCCAGACAGGAAATCAGTAAGCAGTGCTCTTCCACTCTGCTCACGTCTTTTCTGGCATCCCTTTTTTGATGGATCGCAACCTTCCCAAGTTGCTCTTGGTCAAGAGTGTTTTATCTCAGCAACTGAAAGAGACTGGAACTGCTCTGCACCCTCCAGATACTGCAAAGTCCACCTCTTATTCACCCTGCTTTGAGTAAAAAGCCCATGTGGCCCTGATGGCCTGTGGTGATCTCTTCCCTTGAGTTGTCCTTTCCAGAGCTGTGAGTACCTGTGGGTAATGAACTGTTGCTGATCTTCGCTGTTCAGTGCTGTGCTTACCTCACAGGGCATGTGATCCCATTTTTTTAAAAGAAGAGCAGCTCAAAGAGAAGCAGGCTACATATATTCAACTACAATCTTGGGAGCTTGACAGGCCTGCAAGATATAGGCAGGCCCCACTAGCTGGAATAAAGCAACATATCTAGCAAGGAAGGACATCGTTCCCATCGGTACCACGGTGTGAGCCAGGGGAGATCCCAGGAGACCTGACCTATTCTCCAGACTGAAAAGAACGGAAATGAAGATCAAATGGGGGAGGAGCGGAGAAAAATCTCAAGAGAGAAAGAACTGAGGTACTCGAACAAGTTGTAAAGCTACTGAGAGCCACTCCTGGGCGGTTAGGTATCAAGAGGAGAACTGTGCCTTAGGCGCGGCTTTGGCTGAGATCGCTAGCACATCCCTGCAGTCCAAGCATACAGGAGGCTAAGGCAGAGGTTCTCAACGTTAAGACTAGGCTGAGTTACATAGGTGGGCCTGTCTCAATAGAAAAAGGGGGTGGTTGGTGGCTGGGATATCTGTAATTCTAGCCTTGGAAAGTGGAGACAGCAGGTTCCCAGAGCAAGCTGGCCAGTGAGACTGAATCAGTGAGCCTTGGGCTTGACTGAGGGGCCCCGCCTCCGTGAATTAAGATGGAAGGGCAGCCAAGGCTGAGTCTTGACATTAACCCTGGGCCTCCGCAGGCTTGAGCGTGCACACAGATGCCTACAAACGTGCAAACTATGCAGAAACATACATATAAACACACAGACGATGGGAGAAGGGAAGGCAAGAACATTCTTGGGCTGGGGATTTAGCTCAATGGAAGG